GTCAAACTCAAATTGCTGGCAAGCAGAGTAGATGTTTCTGATTTACGTTGCGTTTCTTGGATAGATTTAGCTGGTCGCCAATCATTTAACAGAGCTCTGTGGTGGGAGCGGAACACAGAATTGAAATGTGACCTTGGAGAAAGGTCCAGCATGGGAAGATATAGGATAAGGAGCCATGAAACATGCCCAAAAATGCAAGGAGGCGTGTCTGCAAGCAACTGGCGACCAATCAAATGATTGGTAGTTAAGCCCAGGGAAAGCCTATTCATTCATGTCTAGTATAATCCAGCAAATAATGGAGCCTGGCTTGGGAGAGACTATAATAGCTCTGTTAAGATTTATGTTGCAATGTTATCTGCTAGGCCAAAATAAACACAAAAAATGGACTTTGCTTGACGTTCTATATCCACCATAATTATTGGAGTGACAATTGTTACATTATGGTAAACTTGGGAGCTTGCCATATAACCTGACCCTTAGAGCCTTCACAACAGGGTTCAGCCACCATTGGCTGTACATGGGAGTTATCAACAGTGCTTCTCCCAGGGGCTAGAAGTAAAATACTTTTCCTGTATCTGCTGTGTGCTGAAGTCGTGTAAAGACATGGGTGGCAGGAGAGGTAGAGTGGGAAATGGTGAAGACTTGTCTACATACCATTAAGGAACCTTCCTTTCATTTCCTGTCCTGAGAAACAAGTAACAAGCACTACAAAGCAATGAAAAAAAACCCCTCCTAGACAGCTGTCACCAGATATTACGTATAGGGATACAGTTGTGGTATATTGTCATATGTCATGTTTTAAGTGACAATAATACTGTATGAGATTTTGTAATAAACGGCTGATACAGCCATTTTATATCCAATCCTGTTTGGTCTTTTATTTGGGGAAATGGGAAGTTGAGAAGGGGTCAGATGCTGTAATCAGCTGTTCATGGTTGGGAAAAGATGACTATGCCTTACCCTGTCAAGATGCCCCCGTTGGAACATTTTTCCTCCAATGGCAGCTCTAAAATTTGGGATTTGCCATCACTTTCTGTACCGGGGACGGTGGTCACCAGGACAAACAGAGAGGGTGAATCTCCCCAGCAAGAACACGGGCAGCAATACAAACCTGACAAGGGTTTTATAAATTAACTCTGGACACAAAAACTTTCATTCATATATATTCCTGTCTGCGTTCAGGGTTGCACATATTTGTGGAAGTCAGGTGTATACCCGTGTGCAGTCACATGCAGCCAATAATTTCTATTGGCGGCTGTAAAGAGCAACTGTGGTTACCGGGCAGGGAAATAAGTCTGAATTTATGGCTCCCATGTGCATGAGCCATAATAAAGACTGCTTTACTTGAACCCAAGGCCCTGGGATGTACCTAGACACCCTGAATCTCAGTAACAGTTACTGACAATTTCCAGGTGTGGACATAGATAAAAACGTTTCTGTCATAAATCAGGTTTGAAAATTGACCCTGACCCATCATATAGATAATGTGCAGAGAGATAAAAGATGTACAGCACTGATTATGTCTATTAATTATCTGTAGGTGCAAGGATAGTGCCATGGAAAGTTCCAATGTACAGCACATATCACACAGTAATCAGCTATAATAAGACAGAGTCATTTCACTGATCCGCTAGTCAATTTATCTATGCTCTGTGACCTATCACATGATGTTTTCCTCTTCAAAAGGTTCCGCTCACGTACAAAATTTTGCATTTTTTTGCAATTATTGCATTTATTATATCTTCACACTAAACACTTATTTACCATTAATAAACTTTATTTCTCATGAGTCAGTATTTGATCACATGGAGCAGTATGGTATCTCCACCAAAAACTTCATACTTATCGCCAATTACGATCCAGTGATAGTTTAAAGCAATACTCTAAAGAACTGACCCTATTGGAACCTGTATATTACAATGGTAGCTCAGGAGTAGACAACCTCGGCACCCCAGTTGTGGAGTCCTATGAGACTCTGACAGTCACAGGCATGACTCCCAGAGCCAGAAGCATTATGGAATTTGTAGTTTTACCACAGCTGGGGTGCCAAGGTTGCCTACCCCTGTATAGCTCATGGCAACCAGTCAGATTATACCTCTAATATTTATTGTGTGTTATACGTATATAGATTATACATACAGGTGAAACTCGAATAATTAGAATATCGTGCAAAAGTAATTGCAGTAAGTGCTGCAAAAGGGGCCCAAACCAAGTACTGAGTACATATGCATGCTTGTACTTTTCAGAGGTCTGATATTGTTCTATGTACAATCCTTGTTTTATTGATTGCATGTAATAATCTACTTTTTTGAGGTTGTGGATTTGGGGTTTTCATGAGCTGTAAGCCATAATCATCACAATTATGACAAATCACGGCTTGAACCATCTTGCTTTGCATGTAATGAGTCTATCTCATATATTAGTTTCACCTTTTAAGTTGCATTAGTGAAATAAATGAACTTTGCACGATATTCTAATTATTCGAGTTTCACCTGTATGTGAGCTTGCCTGATAAGGTTGGGCATCATGCAGGGCCAAATGTAAAATGTCCCTTGCCGTGAGGACATTAACTAATCTTTAAGCAGAGCACTAGGAATGTGCAACTGTGGGTGTTCCTAGTTCTCAGACCTGCTGACAGACTCAATTAGTCATACAGGGTTATTCACAAAAGGGTGAAGAGTTTGGAGAAGGCCGGAGAAGTGAACAATCTAGGGCAACATAGCTGAACTGGAAAATGAGCTGAATTGGAGAATTGTTTTATATGGGTCTATGCTTCAGACCATAAAGAGGGACAATTTAAGAGAAGGCACAGACAGAGGGATTTGGTTTTAAAAGAGGGACAGTCCCTTCAATCCAAGGATAGCAAGGGAATGCCACGGTGTAGTTTGGCAACTATGGCACCCAGGACTCTCAGCCAGAGAAGCTGAGAGGGTCCAGAGTGTAAACCATTTTATAAGGAAGAATCTGGCCTTTCAGATTCTTCAGGCTTTCAGAATTGTAGCTGGGATCTGGAGCTCTGGAGATTTCTTAGAGCTCTGGGTGAGATGAAATCTCCAGTCCTGGGGTCAGGTGTTGCCATTGACCAGCCTGGGCTAATCTGGTGGCTGAGAGCAGCCTCATTAGGAAGCCAGCACACAGCTCAGGGGAGAGTTGTGTGTGGGTGTGCAGGAGGCACACGGCCACAAGCAGACTCGGGTGCGTGCAGTGCCGGATTTACTCTACCTGCCGACCCCAAGGCCAGGTTCCGCGATAGCCCCCCCACGACCCACCAGTTCTGTTCTGTTTCATTTATGTTGAAGATGAATAAAGACTGTCCTGTTTATGTGCAAGTCGTCTTCAGGAGTGGTCACTTAGCGCTCACCATTGGGCTATACTCCACAACATCTAGAAGCAAGCAACCCATCTACAATATCTATGCTCCCATACCTCTGGCTTGCCATCCATCATGCATTATGCCAACGTGGTATGGGGAAAGGTGTACCTTGTTGGCAACTGAGCTGCAACTGATGTTGTGTTGGCTGTATGAGAAGAGTTCTTATCTGAAATGTGATATCTGGAAACTGTAGGCATAAAGATCAATGCTGAAAGTGAACATGTGCGCACGTGTTTAGGTGGTGGCGGCTTTATCTAAAGCAGTTATAATCTGGGGGGGTTGCACAAAGTAACTGGCCTAGAGGAGAAAAAATGTCAATTTGGCGCTTCTAATAAGCCTGGATCATATGAAGAAACATTGGATTGCAGCAAAGAGGTATTTTCTTCTTCACAGCTCTGGTCCCGTATTGCAGAACTGGCTGACCACAGGCGGAGACATTAGGAAACAAGTCATTTCTCCATCATTTACACCGTTGCTTCATCTGTACATTCACACTGCAGAAATGGTCATCACAAATCATCACAGCTTTAAGATTAATGAGGGATGAGCGCACAGACCAAAACAAACACAGATTATAACCAGATCCTTCCTATTGCACTCATAATAAAATAAAAGATGGCAGGTATTCAGAAATCCATCTAATGGTTTGGACAGATTACAAGAGATGGGCTAATCTTTGAGTGCTATACGTCACGTCGTCTTCCTGTAACAATGACACTTTGGGGCCATGCAGAAGAAACAAAATTGAGTTTTAAAGGGAGACGGTAGTCAACTAGTCATGTTACATTTCTTTCCTTCTCAGGTCTGCTGAGAAGCGGACACTTCCAGGAACATTGATCTCTTGTAGGGTAGCATCCGAATTTCTGAATTGCATTCGGGAGCTCCCAAATGCCATCCGGGTCTGGGAGCCATATATATATTTTACTAAAGCTGAGGCTCCCAGACCCGAATGGCATTCAGGAGCTCCCGAATGCAATTCGGAAATTCAAATCCCTTATGCCATTCGGGTCTGGGAGCCTCAGCTTTAGTATTATATGTATATACTGTATATGGCTCCCATGTTGCCGTAACGAAAATTCGTGTTCAGACCCATTTGGATGCATTAAACCGAAAAACACATCTGATTGGCCAGAAAAGTCACATGTCCGATTCAGTTTTGTTTTTTAACGACATTCGGACTGGATCCGAAATTCGGAAACGGGGATTCGGACACATTCGGATGCATTGGGATTCGGAAATTCGGATGTCTCAGAATTTCTGAAAATTTTGATTCGGAACGAAACGGAATGCACATGTCTGGTTCTGGTTAGTTGAATACCGGATAACAGAGAGTTTATTGTAGTTGGTTTAACCCACAAGTGTTTTTTTTTTGTTATCACCGCTTTTCCTTTGAGATGACTTTTCAAAATAATATCTGCAATAATTTAGAGGTTTGGATGAAAGATTTTGTACTTTAAAAGGTTTTGGTAGTCAAATAGCGCACATGTTTATAATGGTCTGTACATCAGACCAAAAAGAGGGACTTCGGAGAGCTATGACTTCTATTTTCCCTTTAAAGAAGTGTAAGTGAAGATTGCTCCATACAGAAACTGACCTTACTCATAGTTGTCTCTTGTTTTCTTTGCAGAATCTGGAGTGTGAACAATCAGGTATGTAAAGCTTGCAACTCCTCTTACATCTGCATTGTTGTTGTTCCAGCCAAACAAGCATGCGGGTAGGCAGCCTCTTGTTAGCTGTCACCTGTTTCGTGCGATCCTATTATCACCTTGACTAAAGACGAAAAGGAGATTTTATGAGACGCTTTCGAGACTGGAAATATTATTTTGTTGGCTGAATGTTCTTGCAAAAGGGTTTATAGACAAGATGAAGTGTACCTGTCATGTATACATAGAAGTGGAAACCATTTGGCAAGCTAATAACTACCCGCCCGGCGCCCGGAACTGCATGTCCTGGGCATTCAGGAGATAGGAATTCCACACCCCTGCTGCCCCTCTACGCCCGGGGCCGGGCCTCAGTTGGCCTTGTGGGAAATCCGGCCCTGACTGCTGTACCTCCTGATTTTCTAAGGTCACAGAGAGGGACATCTTTTAGTATGTAGGTATACTGGGCTTTGGGTGACGAGAGGACGCTAGTTTGTGTCCTCCCGTTACCCTTAGGAGAACTATGGGGAAAAGCACTGACCCCATAGTTCGCCTTTAATTCGGAGATCCCCCCTGCAGTACTTTTTTCTGCCTCTAGATGTCCTCAGTCTAATAAATGGTGTTATTCAACCCAGGTCAACTTTACCCGCCCCTAGCCTTTGATTGGACAGTAAATTCAAGTCTCTGCTCTCTCCTCCTATCTGCATGCTTGTTGGCACATACACAGATTGTACTGCTTTTTCCTATCACGCCCCAGCCCTGCTATACAGGAACTGCAAGAGGCTGATACCAAAACAAATTCAGGCGCTGACACTTACTAGAGTTCACTTCCACATGAGGCCCATTGCCCTTGCCATGTGACTCATCTGTGTTTCTGTCTTCTCATACAGTCATGTGGTGCATGCCCGGGGACATAGAGAAGGCCGTGACCCCCGTCCTGGTGCCGACCAACCTTAGAGCGGAAACTGTGAAGACGTGCCCCAACGATAGCTGCTCACTCTGCGTTCAGGTGACAGTGGAGATTTCGGCAGCTTTCCCAACAGGTAAACATTCACTGATGTGTTTAATGATTGGATGACTTTGTTTGCAGGTTCCTCCGGGGCTTTGTGAGGAGCAGAAGCATTTCCCTAGTGCAGCAGCATTTCGTGAGGTGCAGAACTGCAGATCCCATGATCCTGCTGGGTAGAGGCTACCGTATAGGTAGAACATCATGGGAGTGGTGTGAAAGGGTATTGTGTGGCCATACTTAAAGGGGTTGGGTTATAAACATGATGGCCACTAGGTGGCACTAAAGGAGTATAGGAAATAAGTATTTATTTTTCTGAGCTCCTCAGCTCCATCTAGTGGCCATAATGTGATATTACAAGAAGAGCATTCGAAAATGAATTGCACTTGACATTCGTTTGTTCATATATTCACACAGAATGAACATTCAAAGATATTCTCAGGGCTGAGAATTGTTTACAAATCAACCCCAAAGTGTATGTAAAGCTCAAATCTTGTAAGCAAGAAAGGGTTAAAACCCCCTTTTAATCTCTTCGGTGTTTCTGACCCGCTTGGGAGATTTTCCTTCATTTCCAGCCCTGGTGATACAACAGGAAATGAGAAGAAATCTCCAAAGTGAACGGAAACGCCATGTAAAAGAATTGTCTTAGGTGTCCCCATTGGAGGATTTCCTTTAAACTCTTTCTTTAATTGTAATTCAGAATATTTGGATTTCCGCTCACTTTCCGTTCCTGTGACAATGATTGCCAGGAAATAATAGTGGGGTGAATCTCCCAAGCGAAGACAGTAATACAATTGTGATCCTTTGTTACATCCTTTGTTACATCTCAGTACTGCCGATCTCCTGAAGCCTCTTTGCAGCTCCTTCCTGCCATGGCATTTCTGATCCTGATGGTGACAACATTGGACAATGCCTGTGTACTGTGTGTTGCAACACCCAGTTACATACATATATAATTTTATATATATATTGAATTGTACCTTAGACTGCCAGAACAAAGAGAAGAACTGGGCTCTGGAGACTGTGACTATGAATACAATGATCAGTACTATGATCAGTACAGCGATGAAGAGGAAGAAGCGTCAGAAATAAAGGCTGTTAACGTTTTTTTACAACTCGAGAACCTCAACAATGGTACGAGCGCCACCTTCTCAGATATATTTTTGAGCACCCGAGCTTGTGAGATGACATTTTCTAGGTTCTGTAGAATTTGTTACTTTACCTTTTCTACTTTTTTTTTTTTCTTTCAATAGTTTTTATTATTTTCCATCATAAACATAAAACATACATGGTACAGTTACAAATCTAGGACGCTAGAAACAGTCGCCTTCTTGGTTACATTCGTAATTCGGTTGTTATGTTTTAACTGTTAACCTGGAGATCAATCAAAACAATTTTAGCATCCTAAGGTGCTTGTCGAAAGGGCCAGAGTGCCCTGTCTTGGAAACAAGAGTAAGAGGAAAGAAGGAAGACCAAAGAGGTAGAGGGACTGGGTAGGGGGAAGGGGGGGAAGGGGGGGAAGGAGATCTGTGGCAGCGGAGTAGTACCTCCAGGTCAGGGCGTCCACTTTAAAGTGACGTGAGACTCGTGAGGGGAATGGTTGGGTGCGCATGTGCCAACCAGGGGTCCCAGACCTTCCGGAATTTCTTTTGAGTGTCCGTCAGGATACTGGACAGTTTTTCGTTAATGAAAAATGAGTAACCTTTTCTACTTTTTTAAGGGCAGAGAGCTAAATACACAGAGAAAATACATCTACGGGAGGTGTTTTATTCTGTCCATCCAGTCCTGAGATTTACACAGCCCTATCACACGGCACAGCCTCCTATGGCAGGGCAGAGGTGACTTAACGTTCTCTGCTACCATTAAGTAACGCTTACAGGTCTTGTCCTTTCCCCAGCCTGTGACTGGACAGTGAAAGGAGAAGCAGCAGACTGATTAGCTCAACTCCCTGTCACCCTGCTCTCTCCTCCTGCACCATATTCGCCACCACAACATACAATAGTAAAGGTGTCGGGTGTCTGTTGGTAAAGAGCATTGAGGTGCCATTAAGAATGAATGGCACCATAACTCATTGCACTGTAGTATGGGCGTTGCACACAGATTAACTCATCTCTCTGTCACTCTGCTCTCTCCTCCTGCACCATTTTTACCATCGCAGCACATCATACGACAGTAGGTGGGTCGGATGTGCACTGGTATAGCACACTGAGGTGCCAATCAAAGTGAATGGCATCAAAACTCATTGCACTGCGGTATGGGCATTGCAGACCGATAACTTCATCGCTCTGTCACTCTGCTCTCTCCTCACTAAAGGGTGTGGCCACTGAGGGGTGTGGTCACTGAGGGGCGCTGTAAAGCTTTCTCGCACAGGGCGCCTAAAGGCCTAAGGCCGGCCCTGCCTCCTGCACAATACCATCGCAGCACAACATACGATAGTAAGTGGGTCGGATGTGCACACTGAGGTGCCATTCAAATTGAATGGCATCATAACTCTTTGCGCTGTGGTATGGGCGTTGCTGTAATGCACATTAAGATGTATGTTGCTGGAATGCATGGGTGTAAATCCTCAGTCTGAGCACATTGAGCACGTTGAAGCTGATTTACAGACATGTTCACACACTTTGATCTGTTTAGAATATAAGTTGATCATTTCTATACCGGCGCTCCTTAAATTGTTTCACTTATTAGGATGCGGCTGATCCCTTGTCGTTATTAATCATCTGATAATTGGATGTTGGGCTCTTGTATATTTTATTATGTATTAGGTTCTCTTAGCTCGGGGGGGTGATCATCATTCCGGCATTGTCTGTCATTGTTCCCCTGGCATTGATCACTGTACTTATCTGCAGGTTCCATTGTCTGCGGAAACCTGATCATCGCTCCTCTCAGCCTCAGCTGCTACACGATGAGGATGTCTCTGCCCCTGCCTGCCGTGCCGCCGACCCGCAGCTCCAACAGTACTGTGGTAGTAAGTATCTCCTCCGTATCTTGTCCAAAGCAACCAATCAGACTGCAGCTATCATTCCATATTTTGGCGTTGCCTCGTTTGAGTAGCAGTCCAATCAATGATCTGCCATTTTTAACTGAATTGGGTTCGGGGGGAGGTGGGGGGGGGGGACCGTTACAAAATGTGACAACTGCACACGTCGTCTCCCAGCTTCTGAGTGTGCAGCGGGTGAGGTCAGCTCAGAAAATCCCTCAACTAAGGTCGCCAAATTCATCCATATTGTCTCTTCCTGTTTACAGCATTAGCAACAAACCCCATTTTTGACGGCCGGTCTGGTAAAATGCCATCCAGGTGGCAACCCTACTGGACATGCGTAATTCGTTTTGTTCTGAATTTAGACAAATTTTCCAAAATTCGGACATTAGGATACAACCAAATTTCGGAATCCCAATGCATCTAAATGTGTCCGAATCCGAATTTCTGTTTCCGAATTTTGGATCCCGTCCGAATTTCGTTCAAAAAATTCAATTGAATCGGACATGTGACTTTTCTGGCCAATCAGATGTGTTTTTTGGTTTAATGCATCCAAATGGGTCTGAACACGGATTATTGTTACAGCAACATGGGAGCCATATACAGTATATACCTATAATACTAAAGCTGAGGCTCCCAGACCCGAATGGCATTTGGGATCCGAATTTTCCAAATTGTATTTGGGAGCTCACGACTGCAGTTCGGACATTTGGATCCCAAATGCCATTCGAGTCTGGGAACCATATAGCATATACCTATATTACTAAGGCTGAGGCTCCCGGACCCGAATGGCATTTGGGATCCAGATTTCCGCATTGCATTCGGGAGCTCCCGAATGTCATTCCGGTCTGGGAGCCATATAGCATATACATATATTACTAAGGCTGAGGCTTCCTGACCCGAATGGCATTCTGGAGCTCCCCAATGCAATTTGAAAATTCGGATCCCTTATGCCATTCGGGTCTGGGAGCATGAGTTTTAGTAATATATGTATATGGCTCCCAGACCCGAATGGCATTCGGGACCCGAATTTTCAAATTGCATTCAGGAGCTCCCGAATTCCATTCAGGTCTGGAAGCTTCAGCTTTAGTAATATGTGTATATGACTCCCAGACCCGAATGGCATTCGCGAGTTCCCGACTGCAGTTCGGAAATCTGGATCCCAAATGCCATTCGGGTGTAGGAGCCTCAGCTTTAGTATGTAATATCTGTATATGGTTTTCTGTGGTATTCACAACGAATATTCGTAAACTCATCCAAAACTAATGGAAATTTGGATTTTGTCTGAATCCCAAAACCGCACCGAATTGAATTTCGAATCCAGATAATGAAATATCCCAACCGAATTTTTCCGCTGCTTACAAGTGTAAACCCTACCCCTAACCCCTGATGAAGAGTCAGGCAAATTATATAGTGGAATAAGGGGGGCAATATAAATCTTTCATAGGTAACCCTGCAAAACAATAAAAATGTAATGCCCAACCTTAGGCCCCCAGCCCCCCCCCCCCCCAGTCTCAGAAAAGCCATTTTCAGATGCCCCTTAGGCAAGTCATCCCAATGCCAAAAGCAGGATCTTCTTTCTCTTTGTATCTTCTCTAATGGGAAGGTTATCCTGATGCAGAGAGTGGTGACATGATGGCATCAGTGTGGCTTTCAGCCTCCATGTACAAGGGTCAGTGCTGACACCATCTCAGGGGGCGGGTCCATGACACCCTGCATTTTTCCAGGATGAGTGATGCTGGGAGTCATTCAACCCAGAAGGCTGAGGTAACCTAGTGGCAGGAAAGCAATTACTGCAGGAGTAGCGCTGGAGAGGAGGTCAATATTGTTGGGCCTACAAGCCTATGGGAACGCAAAAACACACTTGAAACAGGTCGAAGGTAATTCAGCCAGGGGCGGAATTACTGCCGGTGCGGCTACACCGGGGGCCTGAGGCTGTGAGGGGGCCCAGTGAGGTCCGGTCCTGGGCACCCCTCTTGGTGGAATATGGGGCAGTGCACTGCAGGGTCCCTGGGGCTCGCACTTTTGACAGTCTTCTCAGCAATAGGGGCGGGGTCCTGTAACTCACCGCTCCGTCTCCCGGCCCCCGTCCCTAGTAACAGGTCACTTTGTGGAATGTCAGATCGCACTCACAGAGTCGGATAGAAGTGACATTTCAGGACCGATCAGCTGTTCCAGGGAAGATCGGTTCTCCTGCACATACTATCTGCCCTGGAACAGCTGAGAAAGCGTTAGAATGCTTCACCTATTGGCGGTCACACATTCCACCGCTGTAAAACTGGGCGGGATTACGTTAAAATGTGTGACCACGTCACCGGTCACACATTCTAACGTAGTCACAAACTTTGATAGAACACCGCCATCAGGGGGGTATGGCCGGTGTGATCTGCACCCGCGGCCCATTCCCTCTTGGAAGGGGGGGCCCCAAGATAAAATCATGCACCAGGGCCCTTTGTTCATTAGGTCCGCCACTGAATTCAACTGAAGGTCACCTGTCAATGCATTCTGAAGGATCTCAGAAGCTTCTCAGATGGATGTAATTAATGCAAACCCAAAGCTCCTTAAAGGAGACCTATGAGGTGAGTGCTTTTCACTCACCTCATAGTTCTAGCCGATCTGTGACAATGAGACTGTCACAGGTCGGCTCAGTAGATCGGGAGGTGAGCGAACACATACCGGCGTTCGCTCACCTCTCCATCCTGTCATGGCTCTCTGCCGTGACAGGGGAGGGGCTGGATTCCCCGCTCCGATCCGCCAGCGCTGACTGGCGGAGAGGGCGGGTACAGCTGGCTCTGCCTCTAGATAGGCAGAGCCAGCTGTCAGTCACGCAGCTGGGCGGATCCCGGCACAATTGTCAGGATCTGCTCCGGCTGCGGCGTCTCAGTATACCGCGAGCTACAGCTCGCGGTATACTGAGCTTAAGGTGACGGGAGGACACTAGTTTGTGTCCTCCCGTTACCCTAAGGAGAACTATGGGGAAAAGCCCTGACCCCATAGTTCTCCTTTAAATGATTTGTTTGCGCTAAGTGTCCCCAACGCCTTGTATTTCGGATTTGCATTGAAGGTGATATGATATCACATAATCATCTTCTGTTTGCACAATGGAGTTCAGCCGGATGCAAACTATCGCGCCATAACCGATTCTGATGTTTTGTTTTTCAGCTCAGGGATCAAAATTACTTTTTTTTAATTGACATTTGTTGCAATATGTTAAATAGCATTTTTTTTTCTTTTAGGGTTCCGTTGTGTATAACTGTTTAAGGGTGCAACCCGGAGCCGAGATGAATATCGCATCGTATACTTATCCGAGGTACTCCGAGGTCCTCAGCATATATCATGAAGTGCCGGGTAGGTGACTCCTTTGTACTAATGTATGGATGGAACTTAAGCATGGGCGGGGTTTCAGTGGAGGTTGAGCTGCTTGTCCTTGCCACTCGGATCAAGTAGTGACAGCACAGCCACCAATGAGGCTCCTCTACCACCATTGACTGGTGATGGTGTACCCAGGGCTGAATTTCCCACAAGGCTAAGGGAGCAGAGGGGCAGCAGGGAAGGTAGTTGTTTTGTACATTTAGCCCTGAGTTAAATGTCCAGCGCAGCCTACTCGTCCGTCCTCCCCCTCCCTCCTGCTGCCTACCTCTGTCCCCAACGCCCGGCCGGAGATCTTGTCTTCAGGATGGAGATCGGGGAGCAGAGCGGAGAACGTCCATTCTCCGCTCTGCTCCATGTAAACACTGAGATGGGAGAGCGTGCAGCCTTCCCCTCTCAGCAGTCACAGGAGTTCCAGCGCAGTGCTGTGCTAGAACTCCTGTATTGGAGGTGACAGGGTCAATAAAGAGAACCTGTTACCTCCAATTGCTATCACACAGGGGATTGTTAGCTCCTGTGTGATAGCAATAAAGTTAAAATAAATAAAAAGGTGATAAAACAGTAAAAAATAATAGGATAAAAAAAAGTAAAAGATAATAAGATAAATAAAAATGTAAAAACGTTAAAAAATAAAAAGATATAAAAATAAACATAAAATTCAAAAAAGGGGAAAAAAAAAGTTAAAATAAAACTAACCCTTCCCCCCCGCCATTCTCCATTGGGGTGGGGGGATTGTCGTGGAGGGGGATTGTGGCGAGGGGCCGAGAAACCTTGCCCTGGGGCAGCAGAGCAAGTAAATCCGGCCCTGGGTGCACCCACACAGGCAGCGTCTTGGTAGCAGTCTGCTCGAGCTATCCTACCTCCTCGTACCTGATTGGCCGGGACGCTCTAGTCAATACCGGAAGTGCCGGCAGGTCTTCATACTAAAGCTTATTCATACTTTGCACTTACAGCTCTCTTACCGCTCCTGAAAGCAACAGCGAGCGAGGAGAGAAGGGGCTGTACGTCCCTGTCTGGTCTGAGCATTGCTGGACCTGATCCCTATGCACCACGATGACATGCCCTGAGCGTATGCATAGATGATTGTGCAGCGCAGGGGTACCGGGTACCGACAACGCAGGGGATCGGCCATTTGCAAAATGGCTTAATGTTGTTGTCGGCTCAGACCAGAAAATAATGGGGGAGACAGCAGGGTGAGGAGGTGACTCATAGTGAAGAGGTATCTCCATAGTGCACATTACGATTTCATATATTTTATGGGAAATTTGCATTATACAGATTTAGAATTTGACCTGCGGGGACACTTTAAAACACGCTGACTGCTGGGAAATGAATAACATGCAGCTGCTGTTTTCCCTGGATGCACGCGGTGACGCTGTGATTGTAACAGAGTCTGTATTGCGGTGATTAAATTGTAACTATACCCCATCGTGCTATCTCAGTTTTCCTGCAAGCCGTGAAGCATACAAAGCTTTCTACAATGTATTTATCAGTGAAGCCTGGAAACGCTGTTTGTGGGCGGCACTGACGCAAGAGGCGAAGGTCGGTGTCTGGTTTTGCCTTTCTCTAGCGCCCCATTCAGATGTCTCCAGTAGGAACTTCTGTATTGCTCACTTAGAATGCTTTCCTTACTCTTCGTCGCTGTTTCTGGAATGACTATAAATTTGAATGATTTATTTCAACAGGCTGCACTCAGCTGGACCTGCTGGACAAGATATCGAGTTGTGACTGTAAGTCTTTATTACGGTTACACTTCTATTTTAAAGTTGACTTTTGGCCAAATGTATTTTTTAGTTTTGGATAGGGCGAGGAACGTTTAGAACTCCTGTTAGGTTTTTCATGGCTTTCTGTATCCCCAACTGGCAACATTTCTACTCACTTCCTGCTGTGTCGCTAGAACAGGAAGTAGTAAGAAATCTCTCCAAGTGCGGGTCACAGACTACAATAAGAGCCCTATGGAGGTCTCCCCCACTTTGTACTCAACCAAGTAAAAGCATTCTGGATGGAGTTCAAATATGAGACCTCAGCATGCCAGCTCCAAGCTCATGCCCACATTATACACACCATACACACCAACAGGGCAGCCCAGCCATGGTTACATCTCTCCCAAATTCCCACCAGTTCCTAAAGTGTATCTAAACCCAACAATGTCATATATTTCAGCTTATCAGTCGTTGGATGTTATGGTTGCATGAGTTGATCCAATGCGTTTAGGGCCTTTGCACACCTTATACAGTGCGTTCCAGCACGGTCAGCTGCTGGAACGCAATGTATCGCATAATAAACTCCCCACTGTATTCTGGGCCGGTAGGGGGCGTGGCCATGCATTGAAGTCAATGGCACCGCAGCCATAACCCTCCCCCCGTGCGATCGCCCGCACCAGAACGTGGGCACAACCAGGGCCGGATTTACTTTCCCTGCTGCCCCAAGGCCAGGTCCCGCAATGCGCCCCCCTCCCTGCCAACCCCCCCCAACCCCCACACTTTTTTATATTTTTCTATTTTATTATTGTTTATTTTTAATCATATTTTTTTATTTTTTAATCATCTTATTATTTATTTATTTTGTAAAATTTTTATTTCTTTAGTAATTTTTTTTTATAAATTTATTTTTTCCACTTAACTTTATTGCTATCACACAGGAGCTAACAAGCGCCTGCGTGATAACAATTGGAGGTGACAGGTTCTCTTTATTGACCCTGTCACCTCCAATACAGGAGTTCTAGCACAGCACTGCGCTGGAACTCCTGTGACAGCTGAGAGGGGAAGAGCACAGCTCTCCCCTCTCACTGTATACACGGAGCTGCAGGGTTAGATTTAACCCTGCCGCCCTGCTCCCTGCATCGGCGGCATGGACTCGGGACAGGAGAGAGACTCGGCGGCAGGGGGAGGACGGAGCCAGCATGGAGAGAGGTAGGTGCGGGGGGCGGGGGGAGAACGGACCGGCTGCAAACTTATTACAAGTGATCTTGGCGACATCGTCGAGATAAAGGAACAATCGGCTTCCCCACATTACATTTAGTCCTGCTTGTGCAAAGCAGGACTAAATGTAGATAGCGCAACTTACCACCCGGCGGGGGATTTCACACCGCTGCCGCCCCTTGTGGGGAATCCAGGCCTGGGCACAACAATGACTGCGTTTCTGGTCCAAAACGCAGGCACTATAGTACCACGCGTTCTGGGGGGGGGGGGGCCTGTCTGCAGTTCTTAAAGTGTATCTAAACCCAACAATATCATATATTTCAGCTCATCAGTCCTTAGATGTTGAGGTTGCATTAGTTGATCCAATGCGTTTAGGGCTTGTGCACATCACATACAGTAATACGTATCATCTGAACACAATGTAACAGCGACTTCCCGATCACGGACTCCTCTTCATTTTCAGTTCCTCTCCTGGACTTTGTCAGTGAAGCCAACGAGACCTCGGTAGGAATCGTCAACACGACCAACAGCCGGGAAATCACCCTTTGGGTTTACTATTTCTACAAAAGTAACGCAACGTACAGCAACAACACCATGGTGAGTGCGGCTTCTGTCTGCATTGTGACTTGTGTAAAGTTTCTGTATTTAGTTAGTTTTCGCCGATGATGAGGCGTGACGAGCTATGCGCCACACTACAATGTTATGTCCATACCGCTGTCAATGCAGCCACATGCCGGGTCCGTCCTTTGCTGAGGTGCCAAGCCCCGCCCATCCATTCTTGCTGTGTCCGATGAGAGTTTCCGGAGCCAGGCTCACAGAACAGTTGGACAATGCATTGGCTAAGCTTAGCACTGTGGTCAGGCTTATGGGTTCGCTTTAAAGCAGGGGGTAGCCAAACCCCCGGCCCTACAGCTGTGGTGGAACTACAAATCCCACGAGGCATTGCAAGATTGTCACAGCCACAGGCATGTCTCCCGGAGAGAGATGCATCATGGCAATTGTAGTTTCACCACAGCTGGAGGGCCGGAGTTTGGCTACCCCTGCTTTGAAGTGTCTGTAGAGTTATAGAGTTGATAGAGTATGAATGATCTAAAACCTCTGCCAGGTTATTTTTTTTTGGTCACCATTGGGGAAATTTCCCTTCACTTCCTGTTGTACAGACCCAACAGGAAGTTCAAGGAAATCTCCCAAGGTGAAGGGAACTTCCCTCTTATACAGCTGTTCCTGGAACAGGTGTCCCCATTGGAAGATTACATCCCCTTACCTCTTGTTCTGGTGACAACAATTTCGGATTTCCCCTCATATTCTTTCTCGATAATAATGGCCACCAGTGCAGACTTAGAGGATGAATCCCCCTGATAGGGACCGGATTAACTCTTCCCCAGGGGCGTCCCGAGGCTGGGTGTCACCTAGAGCAGAGACCGGGTGACACCCCGCAGTGACGTCATCGCGCATGCGTGGTCATCTAATTGATGCCTGCCGGCGGCCATTTTGGTGATGGACGCCGGCAGGGAGAGGAGGGGACTTTCACCCGTCGGGAGGAGGTATGCCACCGGGTCCCCTCCTCTCTCCTGACACTGTCAGGGCTCTCAGTCCTTGACCGAGTTCCTGACTCTTTTAGAGGGGAGGTGACACCAAAATGACTGTCAAAACTGTCAAAACACTTTATTTCCCACCCCCTTGGCCATCAGCATTGAATTCTTCTCTCCGGCCCTCCTGGGTGGTGGTGGTCGGGCCCTCGCTGCCCTCAAGGACAATGCAAGACTGTTGGCCCTGTATTGAATGTAATGATGCCAGAGCGTGACTGACAGCCGGAGCGCCAAAAAGGCTTTGAGGAATTGGTCACACGGCATGGAGGAAGCTTGCCGGAGTGAGGGATGAGGAATGCATTGCGCCAAGTATTACAACGTATTCCCCCAGCCTGAGGCTTAATGGGCATTTAACCCTTGCAGTGAGCACCACCTCCCCCCACTAAAAATGTTTTAGGCCGCCCGGAGTTTATCAAACCAAGATAGTAAGAGAAATGTATTGTTAAGGATCACACACCTCTTACAGTGGTCACACGGTATGGAGGAAACCTGCCGGAGTGATGGATGAGGATTGTGTTGCGATAAGTATTACAACTTATTCCCCCACCCTGAGGCTTAATGGGCATTTAACCCTTGCAGTGAGCACCACCTCCCCCCACTAAAAATGTTTAGGCCGCTCAGAGATAGCGCTAGTAAGAGAAGTTCATTGTTAGGGATCACACACCTCTTACAGTGGATACTATATGTTTATTTTCTTGTTGTCTAGATGGGAGAGATGCGACATTACATTCCGCCGTCAGATATCGTGCCCTGCATGTGTATCCAGGTACGTTGATGACGTGAAGGTGACGCCACTAGGGGGTAACGCACGTTGTACAATGCACATGAGTCTGATCGAGAACATTCCGATGATTCTGATGGTTTTTTATTATGTCGTCTGTCGCAGGCCTGGTACAGCGATCTGCAGGACGCTTACAGAAACGTGCTGTGTCCCTTTAAGAATTGTAAGTTGGGTTTTCCTTTCCTCCGAATGCAGAAGTCACGCCGCCGGGGGAAGTCACGGGGTCATTGTACAAGATGGCAGACACGGGAAGATTCCTCTCTTGGGGTCTCATCCCTTCTTCTATTCTTTTATATTACACCAGAAAACATTGCACCCCTCCCCCGCCCCCCCAGCACATTTCCGTTGCACATGCTTGCAGACACTTCACTGAAGACGTGTGCTGTACATGGAACACAGCTTCATGAACCCGGCACAAGGAAGGGAATGAAAGTTCTTGTTTTATTCTCGTGTCACACGCTCAGAAATCCCCTCCGCTGACAATTCTTCTGTTTGTTTGTTTCTGTCCTCAGACTCAGACGAAGGAATGCTGAATAAAAGTAAACTGGAGGTGAAGTTTCCTGTTTATGAGCTGAGCGCGGCTTGTCACGTTGTGGCGGAAGCTGCCTTGTGCTGGAAATCCGAGAGCAGTCCGGAATGCAGAGTGATCCCCAACACCAGGAAGAGGATCGTCAGCCAGGTAAAGTTTTCCGGAGGCTTTACTGATCAAGATGAAAAAATGAACCAAAAAATTGTGCTGGCCCAGCTCCTCTTTTCCTTCCCTCCCATTCTTCTATGTCATGGCCCTCTCCTCTTCTGGGAGTGTCTACTTACTGTCTGTGTTGGCCCAGCTCCTCTTTTCCTCCTCTCGCCTTCTTCCACATCCTGATCCTATCCTCTTCTGGGAGTGTCTACTTACTGTCTGTGTTGGCCCAGCTCCTCTTTTCCTCCTCTCGCCTTCTTCCACATCCTGATCCTATCCTCTTCTGGGAGTGTCTACTTACTGTCTGTGCTGGCCCACCTCCTCTTTTCCTCCCCTCAACTTCTTCCATGTCATGATTCTATCCTCTACTTGGAGTGCCAATTTACTGTCTGTGCTGGCCCAGCTCCTCTTTTCCTCTCCTCACCTTCTTCCACATCATGATCCTATCCTCTTCTGGGAGTGTCTATTTACTGCTTATGTGTCCCCGCTCCACTGCCCCTCCCCTTTTTCCATGTCATGACCCTCTCTACACTATGAGTCTCTACTGTCTGACCCAGCTCCTCTTTCCCTCCCTCCACCTTCTTCCACGTCATGACCTTTTCTTCTTCTGGGAGTGTCTATACTGACCCAGCTCCCCCCTCCACATCATGATCCTCTCCTCTTCCGGGAGGGTGTATTTACCCTTCACATTCCTACATAAAATGTTATGTAGCTGCTAGGGGCGGAGACTACTACAGAGCAACTCTGGCCCTCCACCTGTTGTGGGACTACAAGCCCCATGAGGCATTGCAAGACTCTGACAGTTACAGGCAGGACTCCCAGAGGCAGAAGCATGCTGGGATTTGTAGTTAAAGCACAGCTGGAGTGTCGGAGTTACCCACCCCTGGGCCTGGAATGAGAGCTCTGGGGCTGCTGACATCACATCCAAGATGGTGGCTCCCAGCAGCGGTCTCGGGCTGTGGGATGTGTACACAAGGGAGGATTTCACAGAGAAACAACAGGAATAAAACACATGAGGTACATAATCTTATATGAAGATGGCGGGGGATGTGATTGGTCCGGTGACGGGGTCACTTTAAGTTCTTCAAGGTTTATATCTTCAAGAAATCTTTTTTTTTTTGTACTGTGATTGTCTGCGTCAATTACAGTGACGATTTTACTGCTGCTGTAAAATGAGAAATCCTCATGAAATGTTGTGACACAACAGGGAGGCTCCTTTCCCGGGACAGAGGACGAGCTCCATTCACATAATATTTTCAGATGGGAGAATGTTTGCCGTCAATTCATACACTGATGCTCCCAGATATTCTACTCACTTCCTGTTGTGTCTCCAGGACAGCAAGTGAAGGGAAATCTCAACTGTTCCCGCTGTCACCAGAATAGCAATAGAGGAAAAAAATCTTGCAGGGGGGACACTGGCTCTGGTGACAACTGGAGATGATCTTCCCTCTATTTGGAAAGATTTTTTACTCACTTCCTGTTGTGTCTCCTGGACAGGAAGTGAAATCTCAAATATTCCCACTGTCATCAGAACAGGAATAGAGGGAAAATCTTCCAGAGGGGACACCTGCCCTGGTGACATCTGTGTATGATTTCCCCTCTATTTGGAAATATTTTCTACTCATTTCCTGTTGTGTGTGCAGGACAGGAAGTGAAGGGAAATCTCAAATTTCTTGCTTTCATCAGCATAGCAATAGAGGGACAATCTTCCAGTGTGGAATAGCAACAGAGGGAAAATCTTCCAGTGGGGACACCTGCCCTGGTGACATCTGTGTATGATTTCCCCTCTATTTGAAGAGATTTTCTACTCACTTCCTGTTGTGTCTTCAGGACAGGAAATTAAGGGAAATCTCCCCATAGGGACACAGCACCAAAAAAATTTAAATCTGGTGTTTTTCGAGAATATAACCTGAACATTCCTCTGCTTGTTTTCTATACCAGGAGCCAAATGAGATTCGAGGTCTGGTGGTGCCGCACCCATCATTGTGCGTCCAGGTAAGAACCGCCATTGTTATGTTATGTGTCTGTATGCATGGAATGTATCAGAAATCAACCCGCTGCACTTCCACTTCTTACCAGCAGGGGGCAGATAATTAATTTCTCACCTTCATCCCATAGAGAGCTCCAGTGAGCCTGGTTCAGGGGCCTGAAATAGGAACTGTCTGTGCTCCCCATAGGCCCCCTCATTGAGAATCTTAGCTGTCAGTCTCCAGGGCTATATAAGAGAATGGAAGGAGGGGCCCCTACGGGTCCGTCCGTGTTTAGGGACCCCTTCACAGCTGAGCATGTCATTGCGGTGAATATGTGCATTGCATTAAAGGAGAACTATGAGGGGGGGGGGGGGCTTTTCACTCACCTCATAGTTCTAGGCGACCTGTGACAATGAGACTGTCACAGGTCGGCTCAGTAGATCGGGAGGTGAGGGAACACATGCCGGCGTTCGCTCACTTCTCGATCCTGTCACGGCTCTCTGCCGTGACAGGGGAGGGACTGTATTCCCCCCTATCCGATCCGCCAGTGCTGACTGGCGGAATGGACGGGGAGGGGGCGGGTACAGCTGGCTCTGCCTCTAGATAGGCAGAGCCAGCTGTCAGTCACGCATCTGGGCGGATCCCGGCACAATTGTCGGGATCCGCTTCAGCTGCGGCGTCTGAGCGTCCCAGTATACCGCGAGCAGTAGCTCAGTATACTGAGCCTAGGGTGACGGGAGGACGCTAGTTTGTGTCCTCCCGTTACCCTAAGGAGAACTATGGGGAAAAGCCCTAACCCCATAGTTCTCCTTTAAAGCGCCCTATTCATTCAGAATGCATTGCAAAGGAACCAGAACCAGAACCGAACCTTTCATTTTACAGCTGAACTCCAGACAAACAGCTCCTATATACCTGTCCATTCAGTCCTCAGATTTATGCAGTGCTGCAGGGGAAATTATGATTAACCCTTGCAGCGGGGCTACCCCAGCAAGGGTTAAGTGCTTGTTTTGGTCTAGGGAGGAAAACAAGAAAGCTATGCTCGCCTGATCTTCAGAGCCAGCCGGCTGTGACAGCATTCTCTCCAGTCTCTCCTGCTATGCTGCAGCAAAAATGACAGTCACATAACTGAAAATAAAGATCCTTGTGCAAAGCTTCATGACTTGAGCCTACTGTGTGTAAAGGTCAGCATTGAACACTCCGCCATCTGCTGGTCATTGTTCAGCACTGCAGCTCAGGTCTCTGTAATGCACACTTGCCCTAATCTGTAAATATTGAGTAGACTGCTGGACATTCTGGCTGTTTCTGATGAACAGGGTAGCCTGTCAGCTCATGCCTTGGTCATAGGTCTGTAAGGCTGACTTCTTTCTGACTGTCTATGCCCTGGATTACTGCTGTGATTATTTAGACTGTGTTTGGATTCAGCTTGCCTGTCCATATCCTGCTCATTGGCCTGTTTCCTCTGCTGTGGTCAGTATGCGCCTTGTCTATCACCGTGGAGCCTGGCCTCTATTTAGGATCAGCTTACCAGTCCCTATCCTGCTCATTGGCCTGCTTCCTCTATTATGGTCAGTATGCGCCTTGTCTACCACTGTGGAGAATGGACTCTATTTAGGATCAGCTTACCTGTCCCTATCCTGCTCATTGGCCTGTTTCCTTTACTATTCACATGACCTTCCTCCAGGAGGCAAGCCTCTTTCTCAGGCTACTCTAGAGATCACATGACCTTCCTCCAGGAGGCAAGCCTTACTCTGAAACTTTACCCACTGATATCTTACCGGAAAGGTTTACTCAGAGTTAAGGTGCCCATACACTGCTCGATTTTCGCGGTCGTACGAGAATCGAGCAGTGTGAACGAAGACGTGCGACCGTTTCTACTGTACGGTCGCACGTCTTTTGTCTAAGGAGCACGCTAGAAAACCAGCCAAAAATCGTACGATTTTCGGCTGGTTTGAACGGTGCTCGGGAGACAAATGCCGAATGGGCCGGTGTGCGCACGCTCCCTCAGGGGAGCGGGCTTGCGATGATCGAGAGTACGATCTGCCTGTCCAAGATGGGCAGATTGTACGTTTTTTTAATCCCTTTACAACCATCGCAAGACTAAGGTCTTGCGATGGTTGTACAGTGTATGGCCACCTTAAACCTTTCAGGGAGAAAATGCCTCTCTCGCGGACATCAGGGAGCTGCTGTCCAAAAGAGGGAGACTCCCTGAACATCAGGGAGACTTGAGATCCCTAGTTTAGTATGAGCCTTGTCTACCACTGTGGAGCCTGGACCCTGCACCTGATCTGACCATTGGCCACCCACTGTCTGCTGTGTGTTTTGGTTATCTGTCTGAGAACTTACACCCCTCCAGCATTTGTTCTGCATGCTAGTCTGCCGTCACCCACCCAGTCGGCTTTCACTGGGTCCCCCAGACTCTGTGGCTCTCTGTATATCATAGGAGGCATGGCACATATTATATGAGACATTTTATTATGAATAAGAAGTTGTCATTTGTGCTGCGAAAGCCAGTTGGATAACCGGTGGAATGCCCTCTTCAGCTTTATAGAGCAAGCCCAGTTGAATGGAAGTGATTACTGCTAGCTATACCATGACCTGGATAAATGAAAACCTTCACAGACATGTTGACCTACAAAATTTTGATTCAGCAGAACAGTTGCATGCAGAATTGTTGAATGCATGGTGTGATTGTCCATAGAATGGACAACTCTGTGTGCGTATATTTATCATGTCAATGTGCTAAATCAGTTTGCTCATCATTACAGAGCTGTGTCTAGCTGGGGCATGGCTGAAGGGGTTACATGCTGTATTCCTGATCTAGAAAGGAGATGTTGTACCTGTCTCCATCCATGCGTGTTATAATGAATATCTTGTACATATCTCATCTTCTCTATACTTCACAGGTGTCAGTTAAAGGGAGAATCCTGCACACCGAATGCTTCAAAGCCAATGGTAAGTTGCCACACATCCAGCAGCCCCTGATATTGAGTCCCCCAAATAATTGTACTGACGTTCCTTCATTTTTTAGCTTGTGGGAAAGGTCTCCCTGTGCTGCCATAAGGCCAAATTTTCGAGAGCGAGATCAAGAGAGAGATAGATGGAGAGAGAAGAGATAGAGAGAAGAGATGGAATGAGATGGAGAGAGAGATGGAGAGAGAGATGGAGAGAGAAGAGATGGATTGAGAGAGAGAGATGGAGAGAGAGAAGAGATGGATCGAGAGAGAGAGAGATCGAGAGAGGGAGATTTGTGTTAAACGTGTTAGTGCTTCACATGCACAGTATAAGAAAATGTAGAACAAATAGAATTTGAGTGAGATATTGAACTACTGCAGATAAACAGGTTTCCCCTGTGACCACTTCTCTGTCTTTCCCCTCAGTGCGTCGCGAGTTGCAGAATGGAGCTTTACTTGTGAAAGAGGAACAAAAGAGCAAAATCTCTGTTTGCCTCGTGGAAGACGGAGGCTGCAAAACACTGTACAACACGACGCACCAGGTACTGCAAGAATACCCACTCTCTGGGGGACGGGAGGTGTTCTGAGATCCTGGGGGGCGGTCCCTGGGAAGAGCTTTTCCTTTTCAGAGTAACATCACGACGTAGGTAGGCTGAAAAGTCACAATCTCATCACACAAACCCATTCTGTTAGTAATAAAATAAGACAGCATAGTTTATAGCAGGGGTGCCCATTAGGTAGATCGTGATCTACCAGTAGCTCTCAAAGATGATGCTGGCAGATCACGAAGGGTGTGAATGGTGGACCCTTTATTCCATTTTGGTATAATAGCTGTGCACACATGATTACCTATTAGCCTGAGTCTGCTGAGCCAAGCTCCCTGACACCTTTCTGGTGGATACTGGTGGTTGAAGTGCCATGTATTACATCAAAGAATATTAGTTTACACAACTTGTTGCAAATTACAGCAAGGTGGGCCAGGGGAGAGAGCGAGGAGAGACAGCCAGGGGAGAGAGAGTGGGGAGAGGCAGCCAGGGACAGAGGAAAGACAGCCAGAGAAGAGAGAGAGGAGAGACAGCCAGGAAAGAGAGAGAGGAGAGACAGCCGGGGGAGAGAGCAAGGAGAGACAGCCAAGAGAGCAAAGAGAGACAGCCAAGAGAGAAAACGAGGAATGACAGCCAGGAGGATGAGCGAGGAGAGACAGCCAGGAGAGTGAGGAGAGACAGCCAGGAGAGTGAGGAGGAACAGCCAGGAGAGAGAGGAGAGACAGCCATGAACAGGGAGAGACAGTCAGAAGAGAGAGAGCAAGGGAGGTTGTTTTTTTTTCCGTTGGTAGATCTCATGTAGCTCATCATTTGAAAAGTAGATCTTAACACAAAAAATCGTGGGCACCTCTGGTCTATAGCTAATTAGTCTACTTGCTGTTTATCAAAACCAACCCTATACAGTTCCTGCAGTTCGAACAATCAGCATCAGGATGAAATAAAGATCCCAATCTCCTCACAAGAAAGCTGTAGCGGCAGTATTATCCGTGGAATGCCGGAATAGATACACTATCAGGGAGTTCTTCGGACTAGGCTTTGCAGCAAATAAAGTGAGAAGATAGTTTAGTTCTCTCCACAATGAACAACGGCCGTAACTCTTGAGTCTTTGTAACACGTAATGATTTGTATGAATGTAACAAGAATGTAACAATCGAGTTTGTGTTCTGTTCAATAAAAAAATGTTCTGTCATCTGCCAAAAAGTAGCTCATGTAGTTTGTCCAGTGACAGGTGTTATTCTGCACGCCATAACACGCTCAGGTGTGAACAGGGGCCACTGACATGAATAGGATTCCTTGCCTTGAGCGTTTTTTTTTGCGCTTTGCTTTGAGCAGATGAAAGCTTTAGGTGTGAACGGGAGCTTGAAGCCCAAGAAGCAAAGTTCATTTAAAGTGATATGTTTACATAAAAGGATGTAGAATGCCTGAATTGTATTTTTTTTCACTATTTCTTTTCTTTATGCAGTCAAGGATTGACGTGGATTTCCTAGAAGAGAAGTTGGTGACTGATGTGATGTCTGACCATTGTGTGCAGGTGAGCCTGGAGCAGTACAGGAGTGTTTTTCTCAATTTGATTAATGTATGTATCCCTTTGACTAACAAATTACCAAGACTTCCTTGTATACAAAGGGGACTATTGCCTTGTGAATATCTGAAAACGTTTGTTCTGCGCGGATATACACACATGTTCTTTTATTGTTTCTTTACAAGGGAACCTAGTTTCGATTTTTTTTAAAAATGTAAAAAAATATTGCATTGTGGCCACTAGATGGCGCTGAGGATTATAGACAATAAATGCTTATTTCCTATGCTTCTTTAGCTATATCTAGTGGTCACAATGCAATTTTACATGCAAACATTCAAAAATTAATTTCACTGTTCTTCAAAAAAAGAACATTTGTTTTGGCATATATTTGCACAGAGCGAATATTCTCCTGTGAATTGTTTAGACCCCAAAGTATTCCCTGGTAGGGGATCACTTAGTCTAAATATTCAATTGCCCTTTATGTCAGGGCTATATTGTGGCGTCATGCTGCTGTAGGCACACCGGAATAAAAGGCCGTTTTGTGCAAGCTCTGACTGTTATGTCATTTTATGTGATTATTGATTACAAGGTGTGTAATGGGACTGATATTATGGTCAAGGTACCACAATCCTAATTATACAAAACCATATGTAGACCATCAGTCATAGGGGATGGGTGCCCCAGATCAGATATAAAGATAGCAAAAGAATTTATGATGTTTAAAAACGGTAGACTTTTATTTGTTTACATAAAGAACATTAAAAACAATCCTATTTTACAATATTGCTTACTGTAACCTCTCTCTTCTTCCCCCCCTGTCTCTCTTCTCCCCTCTCTCTCTCTCTCTCTCCTCTCCTCTCTCACTCTCCCCCCCTCTCTCTCTCTCTCCCCCTCTTTTCTCTCCCCCCTCCCTCTTTCTATCCTCTCTCCCCTCTTCTCTCTCTCTCCCCACTTCTCTCTCTCTCTCTCCCCTCTTCTCTCCCTCTTCCTTCTCCCCTCTTCTCTCTCTCTCTCTTCTCTCTCTCTCCCCTCTTCTCTCTCTCTCTCTTCTCTCTCTCTCCCCTCTTCTCTTACTCTATCTAACTCTATCTAACTCTATCTAACGCCATATCATCATATCTCAGTCCGTTTTCTACATTTCTCATCCCAATCTTTATATTTCCCTATCTTAAGCTCCAACTCAATGTTTCTCTATTTCAATCTATATCTCTCCCCTCTCTCTTCTCTCTCCCCTCTCTCTTCTCTCTCCCCCTCTCTCTTCTCTCTCTCTCCTTCTCTTTCTCCTTATCTATTTATCGATGAACCATTGTTAGATGAGAGATGAGTTCCATTTTTACCGCCAATACTTCTGGTGGTAAAAGACCACTTCCCAGACATTAGATCTGCTTCCTTAGGGAAAAGAGGTAGTAAATCTATAAAATTGCATGAGATAATTAATATATGTAAAACAACATTATCACACTAGTGTTGGCTATTGTTCACAATACAGTAAATATAACTACTTATAAATGTATCCAATGCACTCCACCAATACATTCCAACCAGGTATCCCTCATGGGGGAGGGGGGCTGCAGGGGATATAATAGTCTTCAAAAGACCATAACTATGTCCTACAAAGATTTACATTATAGCTATATGATGTAAGATATCATATAACTATAAATTAACAACTATAACTATATTAATAACTATAAATTAAATGTTACTATAAATAAAGTGAAGAGGCTCCAAAAAGCACTCACATTTCCATAAGTCAAAAGTGTATAGAACCATATTACATAGCAAAGTCTCGTACCAATGACTATGATCTCATACAGCATCCACAGAAATGGTTAGACTGTTTTTCTGATTGCAAGATGATCCCAGATAGTCCTACAGATCAATAAGTCTCTAGGGTCAAAAAGTATATCAAATGTAGATCAAGCCATAACACAGGTCTGTGCCCCAGGTGATGTCTAGTGCATGTTACCAGGGAATGGGGGGGGGTGATGGCTGGTTGGTGGTGCACAGTATATCTGGCTCTGTTCAACACCTCGACCCAGCTCACTGACATCACTGGTCGGCCTTGGATACTGTTAATGCTACAACATACAAAGACGTTTTAGACAGTGGTATTCTTTTGGCCTTGTGGTAACAGTTTGGTGAAGACCCTTTTTGGTTCCAACATGACTGCATAGAAAGCCAGCTTCATAAGTACATGGTTTGATGAGGTTATTGTGGAGGAACTTATGTGTCCTGCACAGAACTCTGACCTCAACTCTACTGGAAACCTTCGAAATTATTTAAAAGACCAATTGCAAGCCAGGTCTTGTCCAACAGCAGTACCTGACCTCATAAATGCTGTTTTTGGAGGCCTTCTGCAAAGCCTTCACAGAAACATTGAGGCTGTTTGTAGCTTCAAGAGGGAGGAGGGCTCTATATTAATGCCCATGGTTTTGGAATTGGACCTTTACCAAGTTCACAAAGGTGAGGTGCTCGGGTGTTCACAAACTTATGGCCACATTGGGAACAATAAAAGGGCATACTGAAAAAGATGTCCATCAAAGTCCTACCATAAATGTTATTTTCTCTTCTTTCAGATCTTATCTAGTGCAAAACAGAATGTTTCCCTCTGCAATGTTGATAAATGTAAGTACATTCATGATATATAAGGCGTTTAAAAGGAAAGCGTGCTGCAGGTCATTGGCACCACAGCAAAGTCTGCAAAGGACCCTACAAAAAATATGATATGTTCATTTCAATATAAGGGGGGTGGAGTGTTCCTTTTAATGAGTAGCTCTTCTAAACATTAATTGACATCTAAACGCTTTGTACAACCGCAGTGCCATTTCATTAAACCTACATCAGGAAGAAAGAAAAAAATTGGGACCACTGTGTGGTCACTTCTCGTTCCCCTTTGCTTGGTTGTAACAGCTGAGCAGCTCTGAACTAGGAAATAAAACTGCTCCCATAATGCAATGGGGGACCGTCCTGTTTTGTACTGTGTGGGTTGTGCTTTTCAGTCAGTATGATGTAGTAGAAGAAAGAGGCGTAGCAAGATCATGAGGCGCCCAGGGGCTAGTCTTTCATTAGCGAACTCCCCCATACACCAAACTATAGCTAAATGCTCTGGACCAATATTTCCTCTGCCTAAGTTTTCCCCTCCTGATCTACCACAGAGGTGAGGCTTCAAATCTCCTCATGCTCCAGTGCTGCTTTGTTAATTTAGGAGCCGCTTCTGGGCTCGCTTCTATTTTCCAGGCGCTGCCCCTTTTAATCTGTCATGGAGGAGAGACTTGAATTAAGTGATTCCAAGCCTCACCTCTGTGGTGGATCAGGAGCGGTGCTGCCCCAGCAAAAGAAGAGAGCACAGAAGAGGGTCTAAAGACAATGATCCACCATGGAGACTCGCCATGCAGCAATACATTATAGAGCAATGCAGAATACCACCATCTATAGAGGACTACAAATCCCAGCAATACATTATACAGCAATGCAGAATACCACCAGCTATAGAGGACTACAAATCCCACCAATACATTACACAGCAATGCAGAATAATATGAAGCTACATGCTCTGTTTTGGTTCAGGGTGGCAGCCGATGTCTTCAGGGTCTCAGGAGGGCTGTGTGGGGTCCCAGGTGGGCTATTGTATTCTGATAGTGGCAGGTGTGCAAAATACTGGAACAGTGACTGCAGCTGATTTGCTAGCAAGCACTGTTTGGCAGAGATTTTTTAACCTGCTCCTTTGACAAAAGTAATTTGAAGAACTGACTTTGTAGAACAGGGGGGTTCCAAGCAGGGGCTTAACTCGAAATCACAGGGCCCCATAGCCCTGTGACTTCTAATTATGCCCCTTGCAGAGCCCACTTGAGATCCCATGCAGCCCACCTGAGGGTGACCCTGCAGAGCCCACCATAGGGCTGCAGGGGTGCAGAGCCCACCATAGACTCTCTATGGTGGGCTTTGCAGGGTCACCCTCAGGTGGGCTGGTCACACTCCTTACCTGTCCACCTCCTCTTCCTGCATGATCGCTGATGGGCCCCGCCTCCTCCTCTTTTGACGCCAGGCCCGCCTCCTTCTCCGTCACCGGGCCCCCGCCTCCTCCTCAGATGTCAACCACGGGCCCCTCCTCCTCTACTGCCGGGTCCAGCCTGCTCCACCGACACTGCTGGCTCTCATTAACTCCGCACTGTCAGTGATCTGAACAGCAGCGCATTCTTCTTCACAGCCGCCAGTGAAAGCCACCAGCATAAGATGCCATAGCGACACAGGTGGCCCGCACGGTGTCTGGCCAGACCCCATAGAGGCCGCCTGGGTCGCTATGGCGATTGTTACGCCACTGGTTCCAAGTAGCCTACGCACTGCTCCAATCCCAGCCGAGTTATCAGGACTTGGCTGAAATTCAAACAGTGTAGAGCTAGCACTTCAAAAAAAAAGTCTGTAAAGATTTTATGGTTCTAATCAGCAGCTTTTCATTAAAAAATATAACAATTCAGCTTTTCAATTTCCCCGGAGTCTTCCATCAAAGCACAACCGCAAAGGAAGTTGCATTGATTTTCTTGGACACACATGCACTCTTTAATTTGATGTTATCTTCTCCATTCTATTTTATTTCCCCCTCCGGCTCGTGACATCTCATTGTTATGAAAATCCCATTTCCAGTCTGCCAAAATAACCAACACCTTTAGTAAATAATGACAGAGCCTGCGCCAAACAAAGACACCTCTGTTGGCAACTTCCATTCAAAATATCAAATAAGTCCAGGGTAGAAACATTCATTTGTAAAGATAAAGCCAAAACCAACCATATAATAATTGAAATCTTTAGACAATGAAATGCATGCTTGTAAAGTCTAAAATTTAAACTCAAGAACAAAAATTTAATACATTGCAGCTTACAAATCATTCCATGTAGTGGCTGCATTCATTTTCTTTTTTCAGGCTAAGTACAGTTCTGCAAGTGCAGAATGCCAATAAAACACTTCCTGTCTTAGGGTGACAACACTTACTGCCTGTACTGTACCTATGGTGGAGCAATGTTGTCACACTAGGATGCTCTACTGATTTGGACTAGGAACAACTCCCCGCTCTGCTGATCTCTATAGGCTCCATCTCTACATAGGCAGCAGGGGCTGTGCAGTTCAGAGAAGATAGCTGAAAGCTGATAACATTGTTTGTGATTTCAGCGCAGTGCACAGGAAGTTACAAGTTACACTGGATTTCTTTTGGATCTATAGGTATTAGAAAACGAATGCAGTCCTTACATCAAAGGATTTGTGTGCTGCAATATATTACATTTTCATTCGTGGGTAAACATCACAAACGTGCATGTAAATTGTCTGAGGAAATGGCTGCTTGGCCGTGGGATCCTCTGGTGACCACTTATGTCTTTGGCTAAGGGTTCTAATACTGGAATGGGATCCTCCTTTATTATACTGTGCGATAAGGATGGTTCATAGGCTTGGAGTACTCAGAGATGTCTGAAGGCCTCTACTCTCTCTCTCTGCAGATATGAGGTCCAGGTGGATGTGGTCCCGGTTGTTGTGTCTGCTCGTAGTCGCCTGCGTCTTGCTGATTTTATTGCTGAAGATAGAAAGTCTGAAAAGTAAGTTTCCTGGATGCTGATCAGAGGGGCGGTGCTGATACTGGACCTCCTCACAGCCAATCATAAATGATAGATTTAGGTAGTGTCACCCTCACCGGATATCAGCGGCCAACACCAGGCCATGTTTTCCATCTCTCTCCATGGTATCGCTGTGAAATAATTATTGTGGTTTTCATGAACACACCTCAGCTTTGGAAGAATAAGAAGCTAAAAGTTTTTTTTCAGTTTTGGATAGAGTGGAGAGGGATTAGAATGCCTGTCATGCTGTTATTGCTGTCTGTGTCCCTGTTAGGGAGATTCACCTTCTCTACTTGACCGGTTATCAATGAAAGTGAAAGAAAATCACAAATTTTGGGTTGTCACCAGAATAGGAATAGATGGGAAATCTTCTAATGGGCACACTAGTTCTGGTGACCTTTGGGGATTTCCCTCAGTTTGGAGGGGATTTCCTCTCACTTTCTGTTGTGGCTATCAGACACCAAGTAAGGGGAAATCTCCCCAATGGGACACAGATGGCAAAAAAAGCTAACCGGGGTTATAACCCTCCCAGTGGTGTCACTAGGGGGGTTCGGAGGGTGCAGCCCGCACCCGGGTTCTCCCCATTGGAGGGGACCACCAAAATGACATCAATTTTGGTTTCACCCGCTCGGAAAATTCGAACACTCGGTCATGGACAGAGAGCCCGACAGTTGCACGAGAGAGGAGGGGACCCGGCGGCATACCTCATCCCGCCGCGTGAATGTCCCCTCCTCTCTCTGCCGACGTCCATCACCCAGATGGCCGCCGGCAGGTATCATCAAGATGGCCGTGCATGCATACGTGATAACGTCACAGCGGGGTGTCACCCGGTAGCTGCTCTGGGTAACACCCGGCCTCAGGACGCCCCTGAACCCTCCCTTACTCTATCCAAGACCAAAAATTATTTTGGCTTTTGTTCTACTTTAAGGCCCAATAAATGATACTGATTGGTACATATTATTTGACCCCAGGCCAATATGTCTTCTAGAGACTGTCCACTTGTATTAAAAAAGTTGAGAGTGAGTAAGAATTAGTGTACACAGACATTAGATTCAGAAGCAAGTCAAATACAACCATAAGAAATCTTCTAGGTGCTTCTCAGAAGAAGAAAATTATAGAATACATTGAATAGAGGCCTTTAGTATGTGCTTACTGTACATTCACACTACAGTCCCACTGACTTGTATAGAGAAGCAGTAATAATACAGCACAGTAGGAAATAATTGGCACACATAAAAAAATAATGCTGCTCCATATATTCCAATTCAAAGGTCCTTCAGAAAGGTCTCAAATACATATATGAGCTGCAGACCCATTTCTTTGCAACTTGCCTTTGGAAGCAGGAGCAAGCTGTCTCATAATGAGACAATTGGCAGAACTCCTTCTTACTCTTTAGGTATTGGCTTTCTAAGCTGTGTCACCTGCCTTGGAACCTGTCCATGGAAGCCTTGATGTCCAACCTGTACAAGACTTTTCCATGAATCATTTATTCATGTATGCATTTAGTTGTGATTATTGCACAAGAGACTTTAAATAGAGCTTCCAGATGGGACAGCAAGAAGCCCAAGACTGAGAGCAGTTTGGGCTGGCAGTCAGCGGAGGAACCAGACTGAGAAAAGCGTTGAGGAAGCGTGAGTGCCCAGGGACAGTGCTGTGTAGAAGGGGAAAGGGTGAGAATAGATGCAAGCCAATCTGGAAGGAATAGGGTTGGCCTTATGGAATTGGGGGGGGCGGAGAAACAGTGCTGTTGGGAAGGGGTAAAGCCAATAATGGATGGAGCCAGGGGATTGTAGAGAAAATAACAGGTTGGGGAGGAGACAAAAATCGCAGGAGGCACTGGCCAAAACGCATTAGTATAATGGCACTTCATGACTTCCTAAGCACACAGTACTGGAGAGTGGGCAGGGCTGGGAATACTTGGCTGCAGTTTACGTACAGGAAGAGATGTTCCCAGAACACAGGTTACAGTTGGTAAAGCTTTTGTTAACACTAAACCATGATGACTTGGATTCAACACCCAGGGTTGGAAGGCTGTGTCCACCGTGTAGAGTGCGTTTCGAGGCTTGAGTAATATTAACTGCAGTGTAATCCTAAGAACCAAAATAATAAAAATAATATAGGGAAAAAGTGAATGATTAAAGAAAATGTAAAAAAATAGGACAAATATACCTTGGGAAAAATCAAGGTAAAAAATGTGAACCATAAAAATTCTTGTGTGTAACCTATAAACCTTTTCTGTATACAGAGTGGTTGAAGTCGGTGAGAGTGGAAAAACCTCTGGGTAAGTACAAACAGCTAATTCCTTGTAAAAGAAACAGTGAAATTCCACTGACAACCCTCCAGGAAATAAAGGTTTTCAGCAGAACACTGATGGCATTTTAGATTATTCGAAATAGGGCCAATTCTCTTCCTGCTGGCTGGGGGTCACACCTTGCTGCTGCCATACATAAGTCTTATCTTGTCTTCATCATGAATTACAGCTTAGGAGATTCACAACTTTATACACAAAAGTAGCTGTCGCCGCAAGAATGCAAGGAAGATAACCAAAAAAATAATAATAATGACATTCTTTAACGCTTGCTGCATATTTGACATAACACCATCAAGGAGGAGCAAAAACAGTCAGTGGCTCACATTGGTTATAGTGTAACTAGTAAGAATGCACTGATACCATTTTTTCCAGACTGAGTACGAGTACTGATACTTTTCCTCAAGCACTCGCCAATACCAATTACTGATACTTTTTATTGGACAGTGGTGGAGCACCAGGGCCCGGTTGCAACTGCAAGCCTGTTAGTTCTGCCACTGACTCCAAGCTGTAGAGGGACTACAAATTTCAGCAATGCAGTATAACACCAGCTATAGACAACTACAATTCCCAGCAATACATTATACAGCAATGCAGAATGGCACTGGCCATAGAGGACTAAAATCCCAACAATGCATTATACAGCAATGCAGATTACCACCAGCTATAGGGGACTATAGGGGACTACAAATCCCAGCAAGACATTATACAGCAATGCAGAATAAAATGAAACTGCATACTCAGTGTTGATCTGGAGTGCCAGCTTGATGTCTCCAGCAGAGGCTCACAGGAGGGCTGTGCAGGGCCTTAGGAGGCTCTGTGGGTCTCGGGTGGGCCATGTGGGGTCCTAGGAGGCCTGCAGAGTCTCGGGAGGCTGTGCAGGGGCCCCAGGTGGGCTGTACTGGCACTCGGGTGGGCTGTGCGGGGTATTGGGAAGCTGTGCGGGGTCTTAGGAGGGCTGCGCGGGATCTCACCAGGGGCCCGGTTGATCTTGCAGGTGGGTGCGAGTGGCGTGGTTGCAGGAAAGAGGAGGAGATGTGCGGCCAGCACTGTAAACAGGCAAGCGGGGGACCTCGGCAGCCTTCCTGTGAACCGCAATGCCTGTACCGTGCCAGCTTCAGTTTCAAAACTTAAAGTGCTGGTATCAGCGGTTAGTATCGGCACTGATAGCGGTGTCGGTATTGGTGCATCCCTAGTTTCTAGTCGTCTTTCTATTGGATATGTAAAACCACTGTCAATGTTTTTGCTGTCTGTGTCCTGTAATGGAGATTTTCATTCGCTTCCTGTCTAAAGGCACAACAGGAAGTGAGAGACCTCCTCAAGAGAAATGCTCTCGTAGACAGCTGTCTTCCAATGGAGACATCTGTTCCGGTTACTTCTCCCTCTATTCCTGTTCCAGTGACAGCTTAAAAGTTCACTTTCTGGTCTCCATGTCCAAAAGGGTCAACTTCCCCATTGGGACACACACAGCAACAATGCCCTGATACAGGTTCTAACCCTTCCTTGCTCTGTCCAAAATGAAAAAAGGACTGTATTTCTTTTGGTTTATATACACTTTATATTAGGAGGAGTGATCCGGTGTTCACGGTTAACATTTTCTTTATGTACCAATTTTCTTTCTAGATAAGATCTTCAAAAATCGAAGAGTGTTGATCCTCTACTCCCCAGATAACCCAGCCTACATGAAACTAGTAAGAGCCTTTGCCCTCTCATTGCAAGATCTTAAGCTGGACGTGGTTCTGGATCAGTGGCACCGCACCGAAATGGCGAGAGTGAACCCTCTGCCCTGGTACCAGAAACAGAAATCTGAAGCTTTTGAAAAACGAGGGCTGATCATCCTGTTGTTCTCAGAGGGAGCCAAGGAGAGGTATACGGCGTGGGAAAAACAGAGTGCTAACCAGGTTGTGGATTCCGACCCTTATGGATCTTTTGGGGCTGTGCTGAACTGTGTTTATGCCGACTTTCAAAAAGGGCAAACCAAAGGACGCTACCTTGTTGCCAGCTTCGGCTCTGATGGCGATGTTGTGCCGAATCTGTTTAGGGTACACCCGGCCTACATTCTACCCTCACAGCTTGTAAGATTATTACAGGAGCTGGCAGGAGACAACACAAAAATGCTTGGAAAGAAACAAGCCAAACGCCTGTCCGGCAAAATCACTGACAAGCTACACGCACCTTTGAACGCATGCCTGAAAATTCTGAACAGGCAGACTGGCGTTAGCCAGGATGGAAGCGAGTCATCCGAATCACCAGGGTTCAGTGGAAAAGTTACTGTGGAATTACAGCCGCTCATGAAAAACTTGGGGCACAATTTGAAATAGAAACACACAGTAAGCAGGCCATTTTGGAGCACTGTGGGCAAAACCAATGGACCTGTTATTGCACAGTGTGGAGGCAGTTTTGGAGGACTATGGGCAAAACCAATGGACCTGTTATTGCACAGTGTGCAGGCCATTTTGGAGCACTGTGGGCAAAACCAATGGACCTGTTATTGCACAGTGTGGAGGCAGTTTTGGAGGACTATGGGCAAACCAATGGACCTGTTGGAGCACAGTGCGCAGGCCATTTTGGAGGGCCGTGGCCCAAACTAAAGGATCTGTTTTTAAACCCAACTGAAGGATTCTACTAGGGATGCATCGATATGAAGTACAGTACTCGGTACAAGTACAAGTACAGATACTTTTCCAGCTCCAAGACCAGACTAGAGAAAAATTCACAAATTAGGAGGCAGCTGTCATTTGTAATGAGCACACGGAGCTCCCGGGATTTGTACATCTCTGTTTTAATGTATGATTTGTTTGATATAAATATATATAAGGGATGCACCGATGCCATTTTGTGCAAGTACAAGTACTGATACTTCTCCAAGTACTCACAGATACAAGTACTGATACATGTCTGTTTTTAGGGTCATGTGACAGTTTTTCTAAAACAATACAGACTAATGATTTCAGGACAGTGGTGGAGCACCAGAGCCAGGTCCCAGCTGCAACCGCTCTAACCTTGGTAGTCCTCATGAAAATGCCAAGTATCGGCACTGGTATCTGAACTGGTATCGGTGCATCCCTAGATTCTACAGATAGACAAAGCACATTCTTGGGCATTTTGTAATTTATTTTTATGGTAAAGTGAAGAATTTTTAAAGAGGTTTTCAGCTTTCCTGTGACTTTAAAAAGGTTCTGTGGAAAAAAAAACTGAAAGTAAAAGAAAATCCCAGATTTTGGGTTGTCATCAGAACAGAAATAGATTGGAAGTCTTCTAATGGGGACACTTGTTCTGGTGACCCAGCTGACCACCGGGGATTTCCCTCACTTTGGAGGAATTTCTTCTGACTATCTGTTGTGGCTATAAAGCAAGAAGTGAATGGAAACCTCCCCAGTGGGACACAGATGGCAAAAAAAATAAAAATTATGACGGGGTATAACCCTCCCGTACTGTATTCAAAACTATCAAAAGTTTTGGCTGCAGTTCCACTTGAAGGATCTTCCAGTGAGGAGTCCTGATCTCTTTAAACTTCCATGAGAAAGTCGAAAACTCTGAAGTCAGCTGCACTGAGATGGACTGGTGACACCACCTCTCCTATCAACCAGTCGGCCATAGTACTGCAGATTTCTGATAAGGGTTGAAGCCTCACGCGTCCATCTGTCTCTTAATAAAGCAAAGACTTATGCTGCTGCCCACAAGTTTTTTTCCTATTAAATAGAATTGGAAAGTGTTGATCCTTTGACAGATTTTTTTTTTATGCTGTCTGTGTCATTGGTGGGGTGATTTCCTTTCACTTCCTATCTGGGTGACACCTAGAGCATTTCTGAGAGCTGAACTTCCTCTTTCCCCTCTCCGGATTGCAGTACCCTATTCATCATTAGGAGAATCCAATAGGGAACCAGAATCGCTGCCACAGCTACTTGGTGGGTTCTATGTAGGAACAATTAAAAAAATGAAGAAAACAGAGAAGTTTGGCTCACCGAATGTGAGTGTCACCAGGACAGGACACGAGGACAAGGCTGAGCATTGAGGACACAAATATTTTTTTTTTAAATCCAGCAGATGTACTAAACCTTTCCCACACTATCCAAAACTAGAGAGAAAAGTTCTGAATGGATTTTAATTTAAAAATGAAGCGAGAGACTTTCTTTACTTCTTTACCCACCTATAATTTTGTCTTTTAGACTGTAGTCTGATCTTTTGCAACCAATCACCTTCCAGGTCTAATTTGTCTTGTGCATATTGGCAAACGCAAGGAGCGATCAGATTGGCTGCCTTCGGAAATTGGCAGCTTTGTCCTTTCATTTTGTAACCTGCACAGTTGGTAGATGATGAAGTGTAAGTGGCTCCATGCGGGGCCTGGCTGAGACAGATGCAAGAGAGGCATCTATATGCCTTCCTTCCTCTGCCTTGCCCTCCTGTGCAGGACTGGACGATCAAGCTGACAGCTCAGTCAGATTACACTGGGAGAGCATTGTTTTCCCAGTGTAATTATTGAAGCTCCTCTGTCACCAGCCCTGAAGCAATACCCAGAGCATGGCACACAGCTGATAAAGTGACAGCAGAGCTGCTCTGTTTATACTGAAATAACTGCTCTCTCCTCGCATTATCTGCAATTTGGCATTTTCGCCTTGGTGCCCAAGTACATTGTCCTGGCACTGGGTGCATGCATGCAAATTCATTTCTCCTGAAGGCAGAAAATGTCTTCAAGACCTGTTTTTTTACACTGATATTCAGTGGAATTGGTATGTGCATTTTAGCTTGATCAGTTTCTGTGAAACTAGATATTAGGTTGAAATTTCAGTTTAGGATGGGCAACGTTGGCTTCCTATACCTCCGAGAAACTGCAGACGCTACATTTCTCCCAGCATACTATTTAAAGTGACATTAAACCCTCAGATTTTTGTAACATAAACCAATACTGTAATGTGCGCCTTACTGTAATCCATGGTTGTTTCCCTTCTCTTTGCTGCTCTTCCTTTTAAATTTGTATCTCTTCTCATGCTGGGCAGAACACGGCTACTAAATTTAAACATGTTTACGTTGGAAGTAAGGAGATTAAGGGGGGACATGATTTTCATGTCCAAAATGTTCCATAGTCATAGCAACATTAGCAACAAACTCTTTAAGATTAATTCCGTAACAAAGACTAGAGGACACCACCTAAAACTGGTAGAAAAAAAATTCAAACACAAGGGGCGAAGAGGGTTCTTCTCAGTACGCGCGGTTAGGGTCTGGAACTCGCTGCCTCAAGCGGTAATTTCCGCAATTAATCTGGAATCATTCAAGAAGCTTTTGGACGACTTCCTGAGAGACCGAAATGTACAAGGGTATAGGTACTCTTAAGAATGAGAACACTCATGGATGTATACACACACACACACACACAACAGGTTGGACTTGATGGACTTATGTCTTTATTCAACCTCAAATACTATGTAACAAAACCTTCATTCCCTTCTCCAAATCCATAACTATGTTGGAACTGGACTCTCGTTATACATGATGGAGTAAGTGATGGTGTAAGGTGACGTCATCATAGGGCCTTGACAGTTGGGGCAGAACTGGGAATTCTGGTGGAATGGTCTCACCACTGGAGTCCCCCTGAGGTATAAGGAGCCAGAGGCTAACCTTGCCTGCAACCAGCATGTAAAGGCCAACTCCATCCAAAATATCTGTTTCTGATGGAATTGACCTTTATTTTCTGGACATTTAAATAAGAGTGAATGTAATTATTATTTTGTACAAAACAAATCCGTCTGATTTATATTTAAACCAAACTGACTTGAATCATTCCTGTTGTAACTGTTGTTGAAAATGAATGGAAAACATAATTTTGTAATGTTGCTGTAAAACAAATGAAGGAAATCCAATACTACCGTCTACTGTCTTTGAATATAACTGGCTGGATATGTGATGTAAGTTCATAGGTTAAGGTGTGAAAATATCTGACAGAACAGCAATTTCTAAACATTTTTCAGCTGGGCCTCACATACTAATAACCATCAATTCCTCATATATGACACCCTGACCTCACCAGTCTCTTACTGATGGCACCAGGTCTCACCAATCCTTTACAGATGATGCGTGTGCCTCACCAGTCTTCTACAGATGACAACCTACCCTCACCAATCTCTTACAGATGACACCCAGGGCTTAATCTATCCCACACAGATGCCAACACGCTCTGAACAATCTTTCACTAATGACACCCTGGCCTCACCAATCTTTCCCTTATGACACCCTGGCCTCCTCAATCTCGCAAGGATGATATCCTGGCATTACCAGTCCTCCACAAATAACATCAGAACTCACCAATACTTCACAGATGACACCCTGGCCTCACCAATCCCTCACAGATGAAACCTTGGCCTCACTAATCTTTCATAGAGGACACCCTGGGCTCCCAATCCTTCACAAATGGCACCTTAGTCTCACCAATACCTCACAGTTTACACTATGTGTCACGGTCCGAGGACCAAGGCTCAAAAAAAGGAAGGCCCCGGGGCTTATGGAGCGTCAATGTAGCGAGCTAGAATGACGCCTGGGATGCAGAACGCAGAGAACACAGGGAGTAGGTGTCTGTGCATTACCGTGGATGCACTAGAGGAGCAGAATCTAAGAAAGGCCAGGTCTTCTACAGAGCCTCCACTGGTGAGGATGATTGCACTGCTGAACACCTTCCAGGTTGCAGCCCTCTAGCACACCCGTACATAGACAGGCTAGTTGCACCCCCGAGGGGTGAACAAGTATATACAATGCAGGTCAGGAATACAGGATATGGAAGTAGGCAAACGAAGAAGTCCATACATGAAAGTAATAGGAGCGCTGATAAACAGCAGAGGACCTGTGATGGAAATGCTGGCAGGACACTCAGAGGGAAGCAGGTAGAATGTACAAGCAGCCACAAAAGCAAGCCACTGAAGCTGCTAAAACAATCCGCTTGCTGGAAGTGTAGGAACTCAAGAACAAGTACAAAAGTGACAAAGAGGGTTCGGCTATAGTGTGTAGACACGTTGCTTGAACGCTGAGCAAACAGTGAGCTGGTCTTTTAACAGAGAGGTTCAGAGCAGATTGGCAGGAAGCAAAATCCACCACTGGATCATTGCACAGGGAAGTGTGACACTATTCTTTACCAATCCTTCACAGATGGCACCTGTGTCTCACCAATCCTTCACAAATAACACCCAGGCCTCATCAATCCTTTACAGGTGATACTCGGTCTTACCAATCCTTCAGGGATGAAACCTACGCCTCACCAATTCTTTACTAATGACATTCTGGCCTTATCAATCATGCACAAATGACACCCTGGCCTCACCAATCCTTAACTAAA